AAGAGATCTTCAGCAGTGAGTGCTTCTGGATTAAAAAAAAAAAAAAAAAAAGGCACCAAACCTCATCAAGGAAGCATCCATGTCTACTCACCTCAATGGGCGCTGTGATGCCCTGACATTTTCTTCCCAAGCCCGAGCCTTCCCTCCAGCCCATGGCCTGCAGCATCTTGTTGCCTATGTTACTGTTGTCAAGGCCATCTTTGGTGGGCTGCTCGTAATTACTGTAGGAAGCAGAGAGAGTTAACTGAATTGCTCATCAGGTACTGCGGCAGTCGCTGAGGAGCTTTCGGATACGTACACTGTGCCGGCATCATAGACCTTCTTGCGCTTCGGCTCCGGGGGCTCCGGGATGCCATACTTCTCCCGCCTCTCAGCCGCTCTGTCTCTGTATTTCATCTGCACGAGGTAACCACACTTAGTATGGACTTAAAAACACCTGTTCGCCTGAGCTACAGAAGCAAGCTAAATGCCTGCTATTGAAGAGCTGCCCACTGCAGCCTGCTAAAACATGGTTTGACTAACACCACAGAAAGGCAACCCTCAAACCCGAGTCCCTGGAGCACACCAGAACCTGCACTGGGGTAGGACGAGCCCAGCCCCAACACCTGCTGGATTAGCTGTTGACTGCCACCCCAAGGTTTCTGGTGACAGTCCAGCAGCCCTGAGCAGGAGGTGGAAGGATCCTTCCCTGCTAAGCAGCCAGTGTGGGACACAGGACACTCTTCTCTCCATGTAACAGGACAGCTCTGAACCTTCACCTGAGAAGGGGCTGGCTTACAAGGGTTATCTCGAGTGACATGTGCCAGGATAAGGAGAGCTCAACGTATCATCCACGCAGGTTTTCCATTAGCTACTCATCTGCCCATCTAAACACTGACCTCTCTCTCACGCAGCTCCAAGGCTTCAAGTTCCTGCTCTGAAAGCTTTGACCTCCTATAGATATCCATGTTTTGCTGAAACAAGAAGAGATTCACATTAACAACACGAAATGCACAACAGCTCTTTTTACGTAAGCACCTGACTTCTGGGAGAGCAACAGGAACACACGCATCATGGCTTTGAACTGCGGCAACCAAGGGCCTTCCTGACAGCACAGAGCAACTACCTTGTGCAAGTCAGACAGCTGCTGGTGCCGAATCAGAGCATCTTTGTTTGGGAACTGCCTTCTGCATAGCAGACAAGCCATCTTCTTCCAGTCAGTCAGCTTCTCTTCCTCATTCTCCATTCTCTCCAGCAAGTCCTCATCATTATCGCTATCACCACTGTAGGCAGCCACGAGGCCACGCTGGAAAGGAAGGACAGCGTTAAGGGGAGTGCAACAGTGTCACCACAAATGGAGGCTTTAGATGTGTTTGCTGCACAGAGCGGCAGCACTCTCTCATTACTAAGGATGAAACGCAACTCAAAAGAACCACATACTACAGCGCCTGCAAGACTTAGCTCCCACTAGCCCAACAACAATTTGAGTACAGTGTTTTTAGAAACCTCAAAACCTCGATGGAGCTCTTGAGGCTAGAAGAAATCACAGCTTTTCTCAGTGTACCTCAGTCACCCAGCCTGCTGCGCGTGCACCAAACCACTGTAACCACGACAACCTTTTACAGATGATGCCGTGGAAATGCACATTGGAAAGCAAGTATCGGCTAGACCTCATCTAAACAGCTGTACCAGTAACCCTTGGGAATACCTCTGTCAGGTATCCCATACTAACCTTCAGTGGATTTTCATCGTCCCCGTTCTTCATCACCTCTGGCAAGATCTGCTGTCTCTCAGACAGAGCTCCCTGGATGAGACAAGAATGCCATGAGCACCGAGCTCTCTGCCATACCACATCCCGCTGAAAACTACTGCCACCACCTTCACCTTTTTCTCAAAGAGGGCAAAGCCTGCATCTGCAGCCGCTGACTCCTTCCGCTCCTCCTCCCTGGTGCTCAGTGGCTGGAAGCTATTCTTGAAGTTCTCCTTCTGCTTGTTCAAGCTCTTTGCCCAGCGCTCCATGTCTTTAGCAATCTGAAATGCAGAGTGGTTTGCTCAGACAGCTCCCTCACAGCTATCAATCTCCTGTAACACAGACTCAATCTTGCACACAGTTTCCAGAACAAGTCAACCCACTACCTTTTATTTTTAAATCACACGACACTGGATGTAGTGCAGCTGTTTCCCTGTATACAGCGTTCAAAGATACCGCAGCCTGCTTGTTTTACTGTAGGAACCCTTCTTATCAATCTAATCCTCTAAGTGACAGCTCCGTTATACTCCCACTGGTCCTGGCATGATTGCACATGCGTTCCTCCTATGCAGAGCTTATTTCTGCACTGAAGCCTTGCCAACTCCACCTCTCCTCAGCCCTCTACAATGCCTGCAAATTGCAGGCACGCACCCCACCGAAAAACCTAGGATTTCCTTTGTCATGAAGAAGAACTATTATACCATCCCACAGAAGACCCAAGCCCAGTTACAGTCCCATTTTATCTTTTACCTGTTGAGCTGTTTTACTTTTAGGCTTCTCTTTCTTCTCCTTCACTTCTTTGGTGGTGGTTGTGGTAGCTGTTTGTTGGTACGTGACACCTTCCGCAGCAGGCATGTAGGTCTCCTTTTCGCCATCCCAGTAAAGATACTGCTGGGTTAAGGCATTGTAGTAATACTGCCGGAGAGAAAAGAGTCAGACAGTTAAACATGTCACAGGAGCTAAGTGTCCAAGGGAGAACCCAAGCAAGCTGTCCGACTCAGACTACCACATCCAATTGGAAGGTATTTTGCAGAGTCCAAACAAGCTTTGCAGACTCCACAAAGGAGTCAAAAGGCATGAAGTGGCTGAAGCCTCTGTCCCAAACACGGGCATCCTGCCCAGCAGCACCATGGAGAACCTTTTGCATCTCCCAAGAGACGACCCACCAGAGCCCAGAGCTGGGTGCACTTTGCTGGGCACTCTGCAATGAAATAGCTCAATTACAGCATCTGTGACAAGTGCTAATCCTATATGGGCCAAATGGCGAGAAACATTAAGGAGAGAAAAATGAAGGGCTATACCAGAGGGAAGTCAAGTCCCAGCCCTAGGCACACTGCTGAGAGTTATCTGCTACATTCAGTATTTTGTGCACCTCACTCATATGAGAGACTAGGAGCTAATGGACCTCAACAGTTAAGACAGGTGGGAAGAACTTGTGTTTACCTGGGAATTAGGATCATAGTAGAGCCCTGTTATAGGATCATAATAATATCCTGAAGATTCATCATATTGGTAGGTGGAAGTGTCAGGTACAGCTGTAAAAAAATTAAAGTGTGGGACATGGTCGTTCCAGTCAAATTCAGACCGGTATCTTTCTACATCTTAGATAAAATTCTGAGATTAGCAGCCATGATGGCAGACATGCCTGTAAAGGGCTCTTAATCGTCCATGCAGAATATGCTCTCCAGGGACAGCTTCACCACTGACATATAGTGATGGAGCACTCAGCCAAAGCCAAGTCTCTCTCTTGCTACACAGTGATATATACCTGTGCCCAAGAGCAGCTCTGGATCACTTACCGTACTTGGTTCCAGGGACTACGCCAGTCGGGGGAGCCGTTTGGGCCTGAGTGCTAGTGGTAGGTGGTGCTGATTGTGTCTGAAAAAAAACCCAAACCAGGAACCTCAATTAGACAATCTGTCATCGAGGAGCAACACAACAAGGACAGCCAGCCAAGGCACGAGCAGCCCACACCACGCATACAACAGCCAGCTGCTCTTCACCAGAGCACTTAGCACTCACCTTTAACAAAGAACAAAACTCATTACAGAAAAGAAATGGCAGATGACATACAACCGCAAGCACCGTGACTAACCCACGGACACTCAGCAGCTTTGCTGTACCACCCGCTTTGAAGAGCAAAGGCCACAGCTAAGCCAGATATCCCACATAACCCTGGCACTGAAAGCAAGGAGTAATTAGTGCTGTAATTACCGGAGAGTCAGGTGAGTTTGTCTGTTGATTATACAACTGAGGACTCTGGGACACAACTGCAGCTGTGGTGGTAGTGACTGGAGCTCCTGCCAAAAGAGAGCAATAATGGATAAGCCAACTAATTTGTAAAACTGTACTTCATCTGAGGGCTAAAATTACTTTGTTTACAGTTTCAGCTCCTAATTCCAGCTCCAGCAGCCAAACAAGGCAATAAACGTTCAAAACGAGACAGATACACAGTGGGTATTTTCTACCCAGACAAGGAACAGTTTCCTTTTCAGGAGGAAATATTCTGCTCCCAAAGTCAGCAATTCCTGGCCTCCAACAGCTGCTAGCACTGAAGATTTGTCTAGAGCTGCTTACACAGTTCTCCTTAGTTCAAGGCTTTTGTCAACAGGCTGAAACAGAGGCTGCTCTCTCATCTTGCAAACTAGAGGTCCCACTTGAACAAATCTGTTATGGTTCTCTAGTAACGTGCACTCATTCAGACAACCTGAGAGCAGTATGAGCCAAGTCTCCCTTTACCCAGCAAACTAACATAAAGGCCAAGGTAAAATTACAAACGACAGCACCTCCCCTGTGCCGGAAATACTACCTGATATGGTAGCCGTGTCGGTGTCCAACACTCCTCCTTGATTTTGGTAGTACTGCTGATAATCCTGGGAGTACTGTGAAGGGAACAAATGACAATACAAGATGAGCAGATGCCCAAATTACAACAACCTACCGGTTACAGCACAACTGCCACTACTAACCTGAGCATACTGTGTGTAGCCATCCTGTCCTGACTGGAGGTAGCTATAGTCAAGGGTGCTGCCTTCTCCAGTCTGTGGCTGAAATTCAAGCAGGTAATTTTTGTCAGCGACAGGCAAGTTAGCACATTTAAGAATTTCAACACTGCTTAGGCTCCAGCCTAATCGTCAAGGCAGATGTCTCATAGCAGCTTGGGTCAGTTCAACCAAGCAAGCAGGTGGCAGTGAAATTATAGGTGCTACGTTTTCATCTTCAAGAAAGCAGGACTACGAAGAACAGCCTCCAAATCATACCTGAGTGGAGGACCACTGAGCTGCAGCAATGGCTGTACTTGCCACAGAGAAGGCGCTGACTCTGTTACCATCCGGGAGAAGCAAGTCTCTGTAACCACAAAAATCGTGCATCTGAGTAATTACTGCTTTTTTCTGAAGTCTCTCCCTATGCAAAGGGGTAGAGTCTGCCCTTACACACGTATTTCTTGGCAGTTACGAAACACGTTGATTGTAATGAATGAGCCAAAGCACCGCTTGGCAAGTAAAGGAACTTTCTGTTCATTGTTGTACAGTCAACAAGTTCCTAGGTCTCCTAGGAAGCAAGCATGCCGTCTAAACAAGCAGTTACAATGCTTTATCTTCAGAGGACTGGAAATAGGGGTGGTAGGAAACACCACTTTCACTCTTCTCACACAGAGTGAAGAGCAGGATGCATTCAACACAAGACCCTTAAGGGAAGCAAAACTCTGGAGTGACAGTAATCTCAGTAACAGCCTGGGTGACAACAACAAATCTTAATGCAAATGGGGTGGGGGGTATCAAAAAAAATAAAATCCACTGCTATTGCAACTCACTTTCTGGCACTCTTTGCAAAGTCAACGCCAATTGTTTTGCCATCAATTTTTAATGGTGGCTGAAGACTCTGTAAAATCTGCAGCAGTTGAGAAGCATCCTACAACAAGAAATACTCGTTATTATGAAAGGCAGGTTACTGAGGAGGATTCAGAAGTTCCCAAAGCTCCAGGTACAGCCACTGAAAGCAGCTAAATCTTTAAGAACACCTCCATCTCCTCATACTATGCACATGTACAAGAGCACAATGGGACTGATCACAGCCCATGTGGAAACAATGCAGGTTTCCCTGGGCCACTGAGTATTAACCATCTTGTAAAAATCTTAGCTTTATAAAGCAAATATTTGCCCCAAATTACACTAAATGGAAGGGCAGCAGACTGAGATCAGGCACTCGTTTTTATCCAACAACAAACTGTTCCACCCTGCCTAAAGCAGGTCCAAACAGATCACGTTGCTGACTGAGTTTGTGATATGCAGGAACAGAGATTCTACTGCAGGTATTTGCCCCCCCCCTCACAGTTAAGAGATTTTCCTTGTACCTCTCATTGCAATTTCCCATATCTCAATTTATGGCTGTTGCCTACTGTCCTATCCTTGCGTAGCCTCAAGAAGAGTGTCTCTGCTGTCCCTACACCCTCCCACTGGATGCTGCAGAGAACAACAAGATTCCTCTCCTTTCTCTTCTCAAAGTGGAAGAAGCCCAATTCTGTGGGCACCTTCCCCCACATTGTATACCCCGGATACTAGTTCTTTGTGATCAAAATACGATCCTAGATCATTATTTTTGTGATCCAAGCGTGAAACTAGCCTTCAATCCAGAACAGCACTCTGCTACAAAAATAACTTTCCAACATGCTCATAACATCCTACCACACCTTCTTTCCAAACTGCAGCTAATGATGAAAGGCTTTGACACTGTGAGTGTCAATTAACCCTCAGTGAACTGGGGCAGCCCTTCAGAGAGCTCAAAGGCTCTAAATGCTTCAGCTACAGAAGCGCCGTAACAAGCTGTTTCTCTCCAGCACATCAGTAAGGCCCTCACCATGGCAGAAGACAGCTGCACAAATGCAAAGCCTCTGTTTTGCTGAGTCTGCTTGTCTTTGATAAGACGGATATTGTTGACTGCCAGAGATGCGTATGGAGACAAGGCAGTCATGATGGATTCCACCACTGTGTGAGGAGCAATGTTTCGGAGAATGATGGCTGAGGAGAAAAGAAAGTATGGCATTAGCTGTGCACGTAATGGCTTCCCAGAGTACTTCAAGTTCTTCAGTGGGCAGTCTGAGGCACAGGAAGGATTTTAACACCTATGTTTACATTTCACATTATACAACAAGTCACAGACAACTTACTATCACAGTAATAATCCACAGACTGAACGGCTTCTGCTGCTCCAGGTGGTACCTCCTGTTCTGAATCTTTGTAAGAAGAGAAAGATATTTCAGTCACAACACGGCTCATTCACTCAAACTCAGCATTTCACAAGCCAGCCTAGGACGTACAGTGAACCTTCCTACACAGGACACAAAGTTTCCCACAAAATCCAACACAGCCAAAGAGATCAATGCAACATACCAAATTTGTCCGCTCCACAGCGGAAGCATTTTAGCCTCCTTCTGAAGTTGTAAAGGCAGCACTATGAGGAACAAGAATAGTCTAGTAAGAACTTGGGTAATTTGATTAACGCTGGCATTTGCCATACAACAAAAACCAGATATTCACACGAAGTAATGTAACAAAGCTAAACACACCAGAATAATCTAGACAGCAAAACCTGCCCTCGTCCATGTCACAGCTGCTTTTCAGAACACCCCAGCTACCTTCTCCCTAGTCCTCCTGAATTAGTTATTTTAACTGCACGGTCTTCAACTTTACAATTCGAGGCATAACAACTACTTTAAAAAGCACAGTGTTAAAATGAAACACGGGCTGGAAAACAAGTTATCTTCATGGGCAAAAAGTGTAGTTAAAGCCTGTCAAAACAGCCTGGTCTTCACCTTACTAAATCATCTCCACTCAGAGGGGGTCAAACAAGGAGCCCGCGGTACCTAGCAGACCAGCAGCAACTCCACACTAGACTAGTCATCACCCAACGGCTTCAGGTTCTAGCACAACTCACTCTCCAACCTCCATGTCTTCTGGGGCAACATCTCTATCACTCCGTCTACTCTGCCACCAGAGGTACAAAACCTTCTCATTCCTGCATCTGACTACTCCTACAATGTCATACGGACCAGGAGCACAAGCGGGTCTGACTCACGTATCGCTTTGTTCAAACCACCGAGCTGGTACCAAGCACTGAAGCTGAGGCATGCTCCCTCCAACAAAACCATGCACTGTTACCTTGTTGCAAAGCCAGTCCTCAAATTTAGGCCTCGGGTTGCTGTAGTGCATCGCAATCTGCTTCCCCTGAATCACCAGCTTTTTCTGCAAAAAAAGTGGTTTCAATTATTCCTGTATCAAGGCACACGTGTCCATTTTCCCATGGCAGAGCACCCTTCGGAGGAATCAGTGCTCCTGAATTAAATGGACAACATAGGGGGAGGATGTGGAGGACAACCACCGCCACCTACACCCTTCCCATCCAATCCTGCAGAGAGGAGGACGAGGGCAGTAAGAGAATGGGATGTGGAGCAAAGATAAACGGAATCAGGGAGTGTTGAAAAAGCTGCCAAACACTAAACGCTGACATGGAACCAGAAAGTGTCTCGAAGGAGACAAAGTCCTAGTCTGCTGCGTTCAGGATTAACACATTTTTAGGAGTCTCTTTGCCCCCACATTTCTATTCACTTCTGGTATAGCACTGAGCGACTTTTTAGACATGTCCTTAGGTGACTGCTTCACTTCTTCCCCTACTTCAAATACCCCAGCCTTTTAACAACCACATTTGGATTACTTTTCCAAGCACTTTCTTCAGAAGTGTCCCTTTGAAAATACAGTAATTCCTCCCAAAGGGACCCCGCTTAGACTTCCTGGAGGCTGGATTACAAGTGCCATCAACCGAAAATGTAACTCAGAGTGGTTTCCTTTGACTAATGCATCAGTTCAATTGGAAGCCTGCACAAGAGGTTTGTGTTCTTCATTCAGGCAGGAGCTCTCCAAAATGAGTAACTAGACTGCAAGTGAAGCTTCTCCAGGAAGGGAAAGTTCAAAATGCTTTCAGCACATCCTCTCACTCTGACTTTAGAGGAGTTAGGAATTTACATCTATTTAAGAAGCCTCAATTCTCAGCCTCACACTGCCAAGTGTGGGTATGCAGAACGCCCTTTCAAAACATGGCCATTGATATACTTTAGTCAAACAGGTGGAAGTACGTCTGAGGAAGCGCGTATTAGACGCCAAACCCCAGACATTTTAACAGAACTATTTTTATAGCAGGTTGGCTTACTGCAGAGGTATCACAGAAGTGTCAGGACCAGTGGCTTTTCTGACAACAGGATCTGACATAGATCTAGCACGTAGCATGAATAAGTCTCTCACATTCTGCACAACTAAATAGGGCAAAGCCATTTCTCCTACCGGCAGGAGGGAGGGTTGGAGGGCCCAGCACTCACTGGATATGCACACATAGAAACAAAGCTGCTGGCATAGTTGCAATACATCATTCTTTCATCTAACAGTCAGCAACCGGGCTGCTGGGGAGATTCTGTGTTTTCCCTACTACTAGGGTGGCTGGTTACTGGAGTGAATTTGAATATGTTTCAATAAATTATGCATCAGTATAGCTTTGTATATATTAAAATTATCTCATTTCTGAAAATATGCTCAGCATTAATTTCTTGATAGAAATCTTTCTGCTGCATCCACCAACCCTACTGAGCAGCACATCAGGAAAACAGAATTTGAACGCTGCTCTCTGGCTGGGGAAATCACCCATGGTACAGGACACAGGAAACCCTATTCCAGCATTAAGGCACACAACAACTTCCATCTGCTGGAACTAAGTGCCTATGAATCCCACAGGTGACATTTCTTTATGTGTAACACTAACAGAGCAGAATAGTATTCCTCACACTGCCTGGAAGCCTTCACATCAAATACTCATTTGTAAAAAAAAAAAAAACCAAAACCAAAAAACACACCAACAAAAGGCTTGACACACTTTGCTGACTTTAAGTGTATTAAGTTCTGTTGTTAAAACAGATGATGAATATTCAAAAAGGAGCAAAAGCAAGTGAAACTGTTTGCAGTGCAACAAGGAAACATAATTGGAAAAGAAATTAGAGGACTTGTTGCATTTTGGCTCCTTATCAAGGCATACTCCAAAAAAGCCAAAATACACATAACAGCATTACATATGCAAGAACTCACACTTTACCAAATGTAATTGGTATAAACATGCTTTTTATCTGGAAGAGCCAGTTCTCCCTCTTTAAATGGGGAACACACTATTGCCACTGACACTTCTCTTTCAGGGTTAATACCAATGAAATGTAGAGATCTGGTGCTCTCTCTGTCAACAGAGAAGGAAATATCAACTGGAAGTAAGTTAGGATTTTCTAAGGACTACTCGCTAAACCTTCATGAGCCAATTAAACTGAAACCAAGCCATTTAAAACAATGGCATGTTTTATCAGGAATCTCAAAATGGCCAATTTTCTCTCCTAATTTCACCTGATATTTGTCCTACTGTTACAATTTTAATATATACAAAGCTTTTATACTTTTAAATCACTGTTACAGAACAAACCACTCCTTCCACCTTTATTTTTTTCCCTTTTTTTTTTTTTTTTAAACTGTACAGACTTTTTCCATTTTCAGGAATATCTAGACTTGGTGAGTGAAGCAACCTGATTGGCTTCCATCCAGCTGGTAGCATCTTGAAAGTGATAAAACTCCACGAAGGCGAAACCACGGCTTACACCTAGAGACAGCATTCAGATATAGACGGGATACTTGTGTTAGTCAGTTCCTTTAAAACAGGTGAATCTCTCTCCAACTGCTTCATTACTTCACGACAAAGCAGCTTTACAAATGCGACGTCAACTGCTGGGATCTGCTTGTTATTTTGCCATGGCAAGGAACCAAGCTTCCTTAACTGGCTACATTTCACTCGATTTGAATCCATGTTTAAAGGTAACCATGCAACAAACTACATACTATTAAATGGGTTTATACTAGTATTACTTACCAATACCTGTTAACAAAAACCCCTGTAGACAGACTTCTTTAACATCTTGACCAGCTAGCTAAAAGTCTTCCAAAAAGCCACATTCCTTAGCCATGGCAAACCTTTTATGTTTTTTTTTATTGCATGTGCTTGCAGTTTGGGGACAATTCTGGATACTCTTTTGGGCTGGGGAAGAGGAAGGTGATGTCAAAAACTGGATTAAGAGCTCTCACCTGTCTTTCTCTTCATCAGCCTCACGTCTGCAGGCTGAGGACCTTCAAAGGATTCAATAAGCTCGCGAATCTGCGTGAGATTTTAATCAGACAGTTAAATTTTCACATCTTGGCAGACAGCTAGGACAGTCACAGACGCAACCTACCTTACAGTACCTGCAAGAGATACATAGAAATGTAACAGTCTCAACACTATCTCAGAGAAAAAGAAAATCTTTACAGAGAACCTAACAGGATACTGATGAGGACCAGAGAACCCACATAATGCTTTGCTACGTTAAACCAAGTGTTATCTTCACTTCACTTAGGCCACAGAATAATCCAGAATCTGAATCCCCACGATCTTGGATTCCCAGGTCATTTGTGTAAGATTTGGCAATACTGTGCTTGTTCCAAAGTTTTTATAAACAACACTGCTAGCATCCCCCTCCCTGCACATCTAAATAGCCCTGCCTCCTAGGAAAGAAAAACCAAGAACACTATACTGCGAGGCTCCATGATGCACGTATTCTTAAGCCTCACGCTACAGTTCTCATCTTCTAACAGTTCCCCTTCTGTTTTTCAGGAGATAAAAGTAGATTTGTGAAGAACGTATCATCAAACAAAAAGCTAAAGAGACATCAGTTCTTCAGTCATAAACAAGCTACTTAAGTTGTGCCACCGGCTACATAAATTACTGTGCAAAGGCATACAGGAAAAAGAAACACTTTTAATGATTTTTTTTTTTTAATGTCAGAGCAGACGACAAAAGGAGGTTTTTCAGAAGCCCTTACAGAATTCAAACTACATTACATAAAATAGGGCTGCTTAGTAGACTCAAAACTGATCTAAAGCTGCCTGTTTACATGCTGACTAGAACTAACATCTTCAGTATGAGCAGGTTTTCATGAAAAAAGTGGAAAAAGCTGAAAAATACATACACAATCAGAAGCGTTGAAGTAATGTTAACTTAAGAAAACAACTAGTAGTTCCAAGATGCATCTACGCTCTAAAGATGAGTCCAGAATTAAGCCTTCCTGTAAGTTATGCTACGGTTCTTTACACAACTGTAGAGCTACATTAATACCTCAGAAACAAAAACTGTTCTGAAATGTTCTGCCTATGTCTGACTGGGTTGTCTCATTTGGATGCAGCAGCCTACACTTTATCAAGCACTTACAAAAATGTTAGACCAGCACATCACGATGAAAAACAACTCAGTATTATAAGGGTAGTTAATAATTAAGAAAAATAAAAAAGACAAAATAAACTTCCATTGTAGAAACGGTGCAAAAGGATCTCTGCGTTAGCAATCAATGCACAAAGATCTCAGCGGCAGAGGTGGACTATGCCTGAAAACAAAGTGGAATAGCTTGGCTTTCACAGGGCTCCCCCTCACTCCTCAAGTAACAGTTGTGGGCTTGCATCTTGGTAACCAAAATAATCCAGCAAGGAAGAAAAAAAATTTTAAAAATAATTAAAAAAAGACGACAGCTCGAAGCTGATCACCTTCAACATCTTTTATTAAAAAAGTCAGATAACCATGTACCAAGCTCCTGTGCACTTGCTCCATCAGCTCCACAGCAGCCATTTTAGGACTTCCACGGCTGCACCCACACAAAGCAGTGTTGTGCAGGGTCGTACCCAGCTGAGGAGCCTTGTGTCTGTGTGTAACCCCATCACTCAGAACTACCGGCCGCAACAAAGACCTGGAAAAATTCAAGTAACTACCTCCTGTCTCTCTCCCCTTCCCCTCTCCCCGAGGTGGGAGGGGGCGGCGGGCAGGGAGAAGGAAAAAAAAAACTCTGCCTCTTCCCTCCTATACAAAAAACGGAAAAGAGCAGGTAGTTTAAAAACAGCTCTTGCAAGAAAGCATCCAAACATGCATGAAAAAGGACTATTTGCAGATTTTTCCGTTTGAAAGAAACTGGTTAACATTCAACTGACCTCTATTACTTAACAGTGACAGTTTAAATCCTTTCAGGATTCAAAATGGCAGCGCGACCAACATGTTGGAGACGGGGCCACCATGATGCAGCGTTCAACAAAATGGCAGCAGCAACTACCACACAGACCTGCTGCAGACTTCCCAAGGTGCAAGAAAAGCAAAGCCCCTTTCTGGCTACTTACATCGTTCTCTGTAACCGTGATGGGAAGGCCACGTAACATGATGGTTTTGCTCTCTTTCTCATCATTAATGTCATTCCTGTAGTCGTGCTCTCCATAGTCACCATCAGAATGGTATCCATCTTCTGATTTGTCACTGTTCCTGCGCTCTCGCTCCCTCTGAGAAGCCAGCACCCAGAATTAACCACTGCGATTTCTCGGAGCGTGCCCCCACAACGCCATAAAAACAAGGCAAAACAAAACCACCAACTCCCCGTACCACCATCTCTCTCAGGTTTGGTCTTGACGGCCTCAAGTAGAACACCAAGCTCAACGCCCCGTGATGCCAACCCTGGCACCAGGGAGAGGGCTGCCCCGGCTTCAGGAGGGCTCGTACCGGGACCCCGGGCTGGGGCGAGCCCACCAGTGCCCGCCCCAACCCCAT